GATGTCAATAATGTCAAAATCAAATTTGTGGCCTGATTCTATAGCGTGTAGACCTATGGCTGATGATTTTTGAAGTTTTTCTAATTCAGATGGATCTCTTGGTGGTCGAAGAGGCGCTCTACGGTGTTCATATCTTCTGATTTTGATTTCTCGAGATGTTTGTTCGTTGTAGATTGCATCACATTTCAAGCATTTTATTTTATAGACACAATTAGATAGAGAATCTTTCGGGATTTAGTCTTTTATATGGACAAGGTTGCTTTGAAGTGTGTCTGATGTTGAGCTGATTGACTACTCTTCCGATATCGTCTGATGTCTCTGCTCTATATGGAATGACGATTGTTGACGTTGATGTTTTCGGGATGCGTTTTCGGTCACACTTAATGTCTGTGTTGATTTTGTTGATTAATTTCCTTGGGTAGTTGTTTTACTTGCGAGTTTCAGTAATGTTTGATATATCTTCTTCTTTTTCTTTCCCATCTGTTATCAGAGAGTGTGCTTGTCTAAGATGATCTGAAACAACTGAAATCTTTACGCTGATTAGGCGTCATGATTTGAAGTCTTAATATTTATTGGAGAGGGTTTTCTTCCTGAATATGGATATACTAAAATGTCCGTTTTCCCTTCTCTTAACTAGGCAGTCTAGAAACGGTAATTCACTGACGTCTGACTCTGCTTCCGAAGTAAACTGGATTCTGGGAGACACACAGTTCATTTTCTCCAGGAATGAATTGTGTAGATCTCGTTTTAGTACTACGAAAGTATCATCCACATATCTTAACCATATTTTAGGAGTGTGTATGTTTGAAAAGATGTTATTTTCGAATTTATTCATGAAAATATCGGCGACTGTTGGGGAGACTGGTGAACCCATAGCAACACCATTTGTCTGTCTGTCTATATAAACTCCCTTTAAATGTAAAATAATTACTTTCTAGACAGAATTTCAAGCTGTAAATAATTCACTAGTGTCCAATGGACATCTTTGTGATAGTGTTGTATCTGATTCCAGTAGACTTTTAGGTAATAGGGATACTAGTATATAATGAGTTGATATCATTGCTTAGCATAATGTCTTCTTTATCGATTTCTCGGTATTCTATTTGGGATTTTAAATCATATGAATTTATAAAATATTTTGAGTGTCCTTTTGTAGTGTTTGTAGTACCGAGAGTAAGTATTTATAGAGGTTGTGTGTCGGTGAGTTGGTGAAATCTATTACTGGTCTGAATGAAACTGGGGGTTTATGTATCTTTCGTTGACCATAGAAAATTGATTTTGGTTTAAGTTTAAACCGGAAAGAATTCCCAATTTTGGGTTTCATTTCTTGAAGGAGTCTGATTGTATTTAGTTTTATTTTGTTGAATTCGGTTGATTTCTTCTTCTTTTCAATGAGTAAGTATGGTCCTTCAGATAAGTGTTCAATCGCCTCCTTTTCACAACCTGTTCCGTTCATCATGACAGTGACGTTTCCCTTGTCGACTTTCGTTATGACGATGCTTTCGTCTTTCTTCAAATTTCTTAGGTCTTCATATTCTTGTTTGGTGAGATTAGATGGCAAGTTTCGTTGTGTCATTAATATGTGTGATATCTTTTGACCAATAGATTGTGACTTTTCATTTGTGATTTATTTTAGAGCAGGTCCAATCAAAGGTGCTATTTCCTGGCTCGATAATGGCTTTCTAGCGATATTGAAATTCACACGTTTCTGTAAATAAATGAGATTTCATTTTCGGTTTGTATCTTGTCTGACATGTTATGTATGGCTCTAATATTCTTCATATCATTTTCTGAGGTTTTCTTTGGTTGTTTCTTTTCTTCGAGTTTCGAGAATTTTCGTATTCGTCTTCTTTTAGTGACATAATGAAAATGAGATTCTCGTTCATTGAACAATTTTTGAAAGGATTCATAGATATGGCTTGTAACAAGTAATGTTAAACAGTCGTCTATATTTTTGATTCTCGTTCGATGAGATTCAAGTTTGATGTTGCAATGATGTATTCTTTCTGGTAAAAAATGCTTTGCAGGTATGATTTGCAGCAAATATAGATTTGTGCGAATATTCAACAGGTTTAACTCGTGGTGACTAAGGAATAATTCCACTTTGTAGGCAGAATACGATGAAAATACAATGATCATAGAATATGTGTTCTTTTAACTTGACCTAAGTCTATTTTCTCACCCCTTAACTCTTTGTTATATATTTGCTGAGATTTTGTAATTTCCGGTTTAATAATACTTTGATAAAGCTATTAGCATTAAATAGCGAAACGTCAGTAAAAGCAATATCGTTTTGTTTTTCATTCATTGGGAAATACAAAAACCTTTATTATAATGACTATCATATACACAATGCCCAAATTTTTTCAAACTGTCAAAGGTGAACTTATTTTAGTCATATATAGTTAGGTAGCGGTTTGTTTTCGGCTCCATGATTTTTAATAACTCCTAACACCAAAACGTTTTCCTATCCAAACTATCTCAGGTGATATATCCAACTATATAATCTCTTGTCTTCTCACTATTTTTAGTCGCTTATTATAACTATTCTGGACTCCTTTTACTGGATACACAAAACATTTATCGAATGCTACCGACGGATGGTGTAAGTACATTTATTTTCTTCAGAAATCACCTTTGGTCAGTCATCAAGAAAGAGACAATTTCAGATGCATGTGAAATATGCTTGAATATAACTTGGATAGCTCACAAATGTCGTACAAAATTTTCTCAAAACACGAAATTTCTAATACACAGTGAAGACGAAGATCAGACTGCGATTACAATCCGCTCCATAAATAGAAGAATTCGTATAGTTCATTTAGGATTAAGAAGTGATGACGATTATAATGACTGATTCTCTATATAAAACACTCCACAAAGTTGACCTCTGACTGTGATTGACCGCCATCTCACCAACTAGCTAATTTGCCTCTTCACCATCACTGAATGTCAGTTGACCTGATTCTGCGTCAACACAATTGAGATGCGATTCGTGTCGCTAACTTTTGAATCCGTGTTTGCATTTTCAAGTCACTGGAAATTGTTACGTGTCAACTACGTAATCGGTTTCTCAAGAGTAAATTGGATAATCAAGCCACATTGTTTCAAGAATATTTCCTGGATTTCATGAAGACTTGATTAGGTGGATAAGACGTCATCAAAATTGGATGATGTCATAAGCGTATATCTAGCTGGATATTCAGGAGAAGAAACACAGTGTACAGGTTAAGAATTATAGTGAATTGTGTCAAGAATGGATTCAATTACCGTAAATATTACCTTCGTAATTTTGAATTGAACTGCCATGAATGAATGACTAACCTCTCAATTCTTTCTATTCGAACAGGGATACTGGGAATTCGTTTACTGTGCTATGGCTGAATGGGTTATGGTCGTCACATGTATACTATACACGCTAGTCATCGCACTGGAAACGAATAAATACGGAAAGTCTTTGATGAGAACAGTTTCCAGAGACACCTCTACGGTTCACCTCTTCAGAAATATATATACTGTGTTAAATTGAACAGAAAGACATAATTGTGTTCAGCACACGTTTTGTGAGCTATCTATCTATCTCTCAGTCAAAGAAACATTATTTTTCAAAAGAGTCATTCTTTCAGCGGGAATCAGGATGTCAGTGATCAAAACTGGCTGAATTCACTGTGATAGAAAGGACACTATGCGAAGCGTCTGAGGAAGAGAAGACGCATTCGAACGGCGAAACATTGGTAGTGCTGTGAACGGTTTGTTTATTTGCCTCACAAAGTGTGAGGGGGAATTAACGACCATAACATCAGTAACTTGATTTTATTGCCATCAACCGATCAACGTAACCAAGTCAATACTGTTTACACGAATCACTGCGTTCCTCTCTATGTTTTCTCAAACTTCCATGAGTCACACAAGTTGAGGAGTTATATTCCAACAGTAACTTACCACGAGCTTACATGAAGAAATTCACAGAAATATTAAACAATATCATGAGGATTATGAGGTGCGAAATTTATATTGCACGATAGACTCATTTCACCACAACTACCTGTGGAACACGTGAGAGTCGAGAAGGATATCCTGACAAAATGGGAATAAAACTCTATTTCAAAGGACTGAAGAGAAGATGAATCACTTCGAACACACAGTTCAAGGGCCTGTGGCCATCCGACGACGCAATCTCGAATTCATCTGAACGATAGCCGAGATAGTAATATAACACTTTATCGTCAACAGCACAGTGCATAGAGTATACAAATGAAACATTTAGGATATTAGCCAATCAGAAACACAGACAATTGACGAATTCCTGTTTGGGTAGGCCGGAGGAATACACACTAAATGATAAAATGATGATACACAAACAAGTAAAGAGGGAGATAAATGCATAATTAGTTGACATGCCTTCACAAATATCGATAGATTCTATCAGTCATCCTGCCACAATGGTACGGCAGTAGTCTATTTTTCGGTGTCTTGAGTATAATTGACTTCTTGAAATCATGATAACACACTTTACGTGATGCTTTCATCTGTTGACCGAGTTGGACGAAATCTCTTTCCTCATTTCATGTGTGATTCGATGTCTTCAACAAGTACTTCATACAGCGTAGGTAAAGAGTACGAATAGATGATAAAGCGGGCCTTGAAATCACAGAATTCCTCACTCAAATGCCTAATGAGTAGATGAACAACTAGTACAAGCTACTCACACTGACGAAAGTCTTTCAGTACCCACCGAGACAATTAGGTGATAATTCAGAGCTGCAATATGACTCCAATTCATTCACACGATACTGGGATATGAGCCGCACTTCTTGTGTGAGGGCTGATTATACTGCCTACTGTCTCACAGTGAAGTAGGCGAAGCGTGATCTGAACATCGGAACCACTAGCTGCAAGTGGAGTAATTGGACCAATGAGTCACATCTTCACCAGTAATTCGATGACTTTAAGTAAGTGATGTCGCGCAGTAAATTCATTATAATTTTCATGAGAAACAAGTGGTGAACAACGATAGTGGTGTCCTGTATAACGTGAAAGCAAAGTAATTTTTTCACTACAGAATTTTATATATGAGAGGAGGCCTTCGGCTTTCTTCGAAATAGTATTTAAAACCTAATCGAATGCATGATTGGGACTGCAATGAAAATGAGTATGCCCAAATCAACAGTCTTGAAAGCATTTTGAATATGATCTCATTGATTGTTGGAAAGTGTGAATATCAAGCTTTCAGGAATTCTTCGCTTATCGTCATAAGTTCTCAGCTGAAGATTTTCTTCTTTTGTATTTTGAATGTGTTGCATTCTTAACAAGTAGGTAGTATGTTATTACCGATAATACGACCAACAGTAGTCTATTCACAATCACAACGTCAACAACCACAATAACAAAGGACCCGGATACGAAATAAGACAGTAACAGTTCATCAACAGTGGAAGAACAGTGGTTAATAGATTTGTATATACACTGTATTTTATTACCTTGCCATCAATAATATCGATGATAAGCTGAAAGGGTTAACAACGAGTCACAACCAATACTTTGTGAAGAGTGAGAATACAGGCAATCCACGAAAAGAGCGAAATAAAATAAATAAACTTCGGCGGCCTGCTTAAATCTTGGGCTACCAAAATTTCCATCCTACATATTGCATCTATTTCCTCGGATTTATTTTGTTTTAATCATTCAATTATGTATCCAAGTCGCATTACTTACTCTCGCGATTATTTAAAATGTCTTCAACCCGTTGATTTACGAGTATATAATAACGTTAAGAAAAATCATCATGGAGGTTGGCAGAGATCATTAAAGTGTACTCCAATGCATCAGATGACTGTTCCTGTGATTATGAGCACAAATTGCAGGTCATTATCGAACAAGATTAACTACTTGCATTCTCTATTATACTCAAATGTATATTGTAATACTGGTGTAATCACTCTTCAAGAGACTTGGCTCCATGATTCATATGACGACAATTTAGTCTCCTTAAGTGGGTTCACAATCTACAGACAAGACCGATGCAGCTCGAAGAAGAAGAGAGGTGGTGGTGTTGCCACTTTTATTAATTCTCACTGGTCTACTGCCAACAACGTCTGCTTCAAATTCTCAAATGACAATATTGACTGTATAACTGTAAAATGTCGACCTAAACACTTACTTAAGTACAACTCCATTTTTGTCACAAATATCTATATCACACCTTGTTGCAGTCCCTCAGAACTATCTATCTTCGCTGATGAATTCACTATTTTTGCTGCTGCTTCGTTTGGTAACTCCTTATCTATAGTGACCGGCGACTTCAACTCCAGCGACTGCAGTTTTATTACATTGCTGGGCCATGCAAATGTTGTTAATTTCCCAACTCGACAAAATACTTCACTTGATTTAGTATTTGTAAATGATTCTGGAATATACGAAGCTCGTAAAAGAGCCCCGCTCTTCAATTCTGATCATTGTATTGTACGAGTCTTACCCAAAATTTACGGAAAGTTACACAGTAAAGCCCTCTCAAACTTGTCTAAGAAAGTTGTTCACAGATGCTACTCAAATGAGAACGTACATCATCTTAGAAACATGCTCAGTGACACAAGATGGGATTTGTTTAATGTTGATTCACTTAATGACAATATCTCTAATATTACATCCTATCTGAAATTCTGTTTTGAAATCTGTTGTCCAAAAGAAACACTATTCGTCAAATTTGACCGTTTCTCCTCCCCTCAACTTAAAAAGCTTCGTAGAGAGAAGGAAAAACTGTATAAGATGAAAAATAAAAGTGGTGTAAAAAGAACTAACTTCTTAATTAAGTCTGAAATGCAGAGGTTGAATGTAATATATAACCAGAAATTCATGTCCTGCAAAAATCCTTCTAATATGTGGAAACTATTTAAGGAAATCACTGGTGGTAAGCAGATAAACAATATTCCATATTCTTTTGATGTATGTACTCTTAACAAATCTTTTATTTACTCTCCCTCAAATGCCATGCTTCCCAGCATCACTTGTGTTAATAATAGCCCCTTTCCAGGTTTTAACACAAATGATGTTCAAAAGTGCCTCAAGTCTCTAAACCCTTCCCAGAGCTTAGGTCCCGATTATGTACCTAGTATTATTTTTAAAAAATGTTCTGATATTCTGTGTCACCCTCTTACTGATCTATTTAACAAATCTTTTTCCGATAATATTGTGCCTGCCGTTTGGAAGGACATTAAAGTTGTACCCATACCTAAATCTTCTACTGGAGCATGTGTCAAATTTAGACCCATTGCTATTACGTCTCCTTTTTTGAAAACTATGGAGAAATTACTTTTACTTAGTCTTGAACCTTCGCTTAAATCCTTTAATGACCCTAAACAATTTGCATATAAGCACAGTAGAAGCACTTTAGATGCAGCTGCCGTCTTATATCATAACATTGCTTCCAGTCTAGACAAGGGGGCTAAATTTGTTCGTTGCGCCTTCCTAGACTATACATCTGCTTTCGACTCGGTCCCTAGGGACATCTTATTAAATAAACTTGCTGCTAGTCAAACAGAATGTTGGGCTGTTAACTGGTTGCATTCCTATTTCTCAGATAGAAAGCAGTACACCGTATATAAAGGGAAGTCTTCCACTTCATTGCCTACTGAAGCTGGTGTCCCTCAAGGCGCTGTTCTTTCTCCTTTTCTTTTTTCTTTCTTCTTGCATGACTTGCCTCACTCTGATGAAATAAACTTTGTGAAGTACGCTGATGATTTAACGGTTTCAATGGTTGCTAACTCCCAGCTAGATTGTACCAAAATAAATAGCTTTCTATCGGAAGTCAGCAAATGGTCTGAGTCTAACGGTCTTAAACTGAATCCTTCTAAGTGTCAAACTGTTGATTTCAGCTTAAGATGTAAAAGACAGTTAAAAGAAGTCATCGATTCTCATGACAGTTGTAAAATTGACGACAATGATATAGGAATCAAATCAGAAATTAAGTATCTTGGACTCATTCTTTCTTCTGATCTCTCCTGGTCTTCCCATGTCTTAGCAATCTCCAGTAAAATATTCCGCTTGACATTTTACATTAAGAAGTTAAGACACTCGGGTATAACTCAACCCCTCATCCTACAGTTCGTAAACTCTTGCATCCTACCTATTCTTCTTTATTGCTCACCCTTATTCTTTCCTGGTTTGCTTAAAAAAGACTATGTCACAATTCGTAGAATACTGAAGACTGTCAGTAGAGTGAGTGGTGTCCCAGTGGACCACATAGTTAACGTCGTTGTCGATAGGTATTTGACTTCGTGCAATAAATTTGCTAAAGGGATTTTGTCTGACTTGGAGCATCCGCTTTACCCTCAGCTTTCACCTTGCATCTCCTCAGGTAGAACAAGGAGTAACTTCAGAAAACTGTATGCTCGCACGTCTAAGTATAAGAAGTCTATGATACCATACTTGGCATGTATTTTATGTGATGAAAATAGTGTCAGGCAAGAATTAACTAACCTTTTTCCTCTAGTAAATAAACAATTTCCTCCATCCATCCTTACATACCTTCAAGTTTTACTTTTATTACTTCTATTATATTTATGGTCCTGTTACTTCTCTGTTTTACTCTCATAATTGCAAACACCAACTTATCTCCATGACGGCTGTAATCTTTGTTTTTTCCTTCACCATATCATGTAGAAAGAACATTATATTCAATATTTTTAAACATGTTAGGATTTCTATACCACATTGACAATACTGTGTGGCACAAGCCAACGGCAATTTTCACTTGTATTCTTATTATTATTACCCTAGCTGTTATCATTATTATTGCTATTTCCATTTTATATGCTGCATGTTTTTGACACTACCTCTATTGTAAATGTGGAAAATTTTCTGTGTGATTAATTTTATTTATAATTTGAGGAAATTAAATGCAATATTGTGATTAATGCTGAAAATTCCATTCTGTATCACAAGTACTGTTTTTGGAATAAAGTAAATCATTATTATTATTACTTGATTACTTTTCACTAGTATGATAACTCTCTGTTCATATCGCCTTAATTTTCTAATTTTACTTTCACTATCGTCACTTCTTATCATTTCTCAAATTCGCATTCAGCTTATCCCATTCAACTGTTTATTTATTTTTGTAGTGTTCGTGCTGCCTCTCACGCCACTGAGTAAAATGAACTCTCTAAAACCCATTCTTTCGTTGAATATGAACACATAAACACTTCACTCAGCCAGCTTAACTCATTCATCCCACGTTCACACTTGACTACATATTTTATATATCTTTTAACTGTATTCAAAATTAACGGACTGTCATTACATCTTGTGCGTTAACCACACTACAACTTCCCAAATAATTTTAATTCACTTTTAATGATTACTGTATGTTATCAGCAAGGGATTTATGACAGCAGAGCTTGATGAAATTACAGATAACAGTTATTTGCTGTGATTATTATTTTCCTAAATAGTTTATGGAAATATTGAAGCCTCTGGAAATCTACCATTATGTAAGCTGATTGGGTGATCGCAGTATGAAGTACTTTTTAATCGTTTTAACTGTTCATTTCATAAAAAATGAAAATATATTGCAAACATGAGATCTGTTTTCTTTTAATACTGTCATCTTTCCATATAATATGTAAGTTGTGAATGTAAAGAAAGTGGTGCAAAAACTAATAATAATAATGTTTCTATTCATATTTGTAAGAAAATAAAATCCTTGAGAATCATAGGACTTGGGCAGAACAAAGGATATAAATTATCCTAAATTATGTCTGTTCCTCAGATGCGTTTGTTTGCAGTTAATTAAGCTCTCCACGAACTTTTAGACCTTCTCCATCCATATGCAATCTCTCTTTCGTAATTACGTAGTTCTAAACTGGTGATGAATGAGGTTTCTATGATTCCCAGTACTACAAACCATTCGCCCACTGCGCTCCATTTAAATTCTTCATATCCCTTCAACACGAATACAAAAGAAAACATGCTTGAGAAGCAAATAAAACGAAAACACGAAGAAATATATATATATATATATGTGGGCATGTATAAGGAACTTCGTTGTATTGCAGTAGTTAACAAGTTACTTCATGGTTTCAAAATGGTTAAGGTTGAGGTAAATAGTTGACCGGATTTCTAGACTGTGTCTGATACTCGCAAGTAGTATTGCTATTCAGAATAATATGATTTGTTTTCACTGAATCCAGTTTGTATCTGACAGAATCCTCCGTCTAGTGCATCTTTTTAATCTGCACGAAAGGGGGGCTTAATAGTTTGCTTGAGTGGACAATAGCCACGTCAGTCTTTACATTGACATAGGTTGCCTTTCTCTGACAGATTGACAGGGCCACGTTTCTTTCAATTATCAGGTACCTTTCTTTACTCCCAGATCTTCTGCAGTGGTAGAGTTAGCAGGTCAGCTGGGCTTTCTAGTTTTTTTTCAGTGTATTATTACATACATAAACATTCATTGGCTATTTCTGAATCATTCGTAATCTTGTTATCTCAGACCACTAAACTAACCTATACATATTGCTTGACTTACCGGTTCATGTGATTTTATATAGTAGAAGTCTTCCGCTTCCGGATATAGGAGACCAAGCTGATTGAAATATACGACTGTAATATGGAAACGTTAGACGATGTTGAAGTTCAGTTAGTCAAAGACACAATAAAATACTTCCTCATATCACACCTATCTTTGGAATTTCAAATTACGAATGCGCCTTGATTTTTATCTGCTTATTTCTTTTTTTTTTCTTATAATCTTTCTTGAAGGTCACTTGTCTTCAAATATCTTTGGTGTTATCCAAATACAAACTTTGAAGTTATGAAGTTTAAAGCTTTGTGAATTTTTGTTATTACCATTAACTCTTAGCTATGGATAAATTACTATAAATAATTTTGTTACTTTTTTCATTCGTATGCAATCCTAGTGCAAAGTAGGGCTTTAAGACTTAGCTGTGAAATTTCAGTATCACTGGTGTTTATTTTTAATCTCATGCCAAACACTCCCTCAGACTAAGCGAAGTTTAGAAGTTTGTCGGCCTGCAGTCGAACCCAGACCACATGTGTGGTTGGCAAGCATTCCTCCAGTGAGCCACTGGCACACAATATTACTAGATCATTGTAAGTTGAAGATGGAATGTGGGAAAATCTAGTATTATTTGTAACCTAATGAAATTCATTTGGGACTGTTCCTTTAATGACGTATAAAGATCAATCTACTTAATTTTGTTATCTGAACTCATATCTAGGCTACATTTCTACCTCACGGATTCTCACGTGATAAATAAGTTTTATCGCATTATTTTCAAGAAGAATCATTTTACTACTGTGTTTCAACAAAGAACAATCTGCCTAGATACTGAAAACATTTTCCTGCAGTAAGTTGAAAATAAGTAACAATTGTGAAAGAAAGCAGTATTGAATCAATTCATAAATTTCTGTAGGACCCGTCAACTGAATACTGTATACACATGGTTATCTATACTAGTTTTGAAGATTAACATATACATAAACACATGAACGTGATGACAACAAACAAGTTTCTATTTCAACAAATATGTGACATATAAGATGTGAGTGATAACTTGTTGTCATTAAAACGTGAATAGTATTCACTAAAGTGTATATCAACATTAAAAGGGAGTTACTGTGGCAGAAATAATACAAATTATGAACAACTAGATTTGACAATACTGAAATACAAGAGAAGTTGGCACGAAAGAAGCAATTAAACGAACTTTTTATGCAGCTAATATCTTACTCATAAGCACAATATGGGGAATAGTGCAAACAACAAGGAAAGATAAGTCATCGATCCGCGCCACATCATAATATTTATACCAGTTTAATAACAATAATTTGCTTTAATCCAAAACAGTATTTGTGATACAGAATGGAATTCTCACCATTTTACTACAGTATTGCATCCAGTTAGTACATTAACAATTAATAAAATTCTACACAGATTAAGGTAATCTCACTTCATTATAACAACAACAAATTGGCATGTCGGTAGCAAAGTCAAAATTGAACAGTGTTTGAGGGTGTTAGAAAAGTAGATGCTAGCATGTGTTTGTGAAAGTAAATGCATGAAACCTACGGAAATATATCTGTCTGTTCTTATTACTGAACGCTGACCAAAATGTCCTTCTAGTACGTATGATGCCATCGCAAGGAGCTCAATCACACTTCATTTATTAGACTGTGGTTTAACTATTGTGGTGAATTGAAACTTTATAATTATGAGTTAGCAAGACGATAAAACAGCGCTTGAGTTTGCCGAAGTTTATGTAATCTGAAGGAAGGAGCCGCATCTGTCTATATAAAAAGAAACAGCAGTTAATTCAAATCTACCTTGGTAGCATAATTTATTACTTTTGTAATCTGGCTTCCCTTCTTCCTCTTCTTTATAACGGTTTTTTACTCTGTTATCATTATTATTATTAGGGTTATTGTTATCTGGTGTACTGTTGGTTCTTCTCTAGGATACTTGCAAATCGAAAGTTATGATATCTTGGTGAGGATTGTTTAAAACATCTTAGGATAAGTGTGAAATGACGTCACATCCCAGCGTATTTATTGATTTACATGCATGTGTAGTCACACAGACAGTACTCATTGATCTCTGCAAAATAGAGCATCTAAGAATATCCTTAAGTGGCTTCATAAGCATAAAACCAGTGTTTATACATCTGTTAAACCGAAATATAAAAGGCTTATCCTAAACTTTGTAGAAGTCCCTGTCACTAAGATCCACCTCTATGTGTTTGAAAGTAATTTGTCACTACATTAAACCTTCTCTGGTAAACTTTGTTTTGATACAGCAATCGACGTACTTTCATTTCCTTCTTCCAGTAATTAGTCTCCTTTGTTATTTTGATCTTCAATATTGCCTTCTAACATTACCTATATTTATTGAAAACAAAACACGTAGTTCAGAGAAGTCTCTTTCCGGTAAATTCATTCACTTAGCTGTACAATTGCAATTATAAGTACTGGTTTTTGTATGTGTGTACGTTAGGTTAGGAATGCGAATCCAAAATTCCCTTTCCTGATGTGCAACTAACAAGACGACCTGACGGAACCTTGAAAAAGTCAGTCTATAGAAAACCCGCTTGGAACGGTCAACAGTTGAGTGGAAACAAAATCTGATTAAATCCTTTGCCACTCGGATCAAATGCATCTGCAGTCGTGGCAAATCGGAAGCAGAACTGGATCTTCTGAAAGAAACCATCTAAAATCGATACCCGCTAAGATTCATCGACAAGAATGTCAAATCAAAAGTCTAGAAGAACGAAACATCACTTGTTTCAAAAAGGATACTTTACATGAATCTGGATTTCAATAAATACTTAGCTTGCGATATTCTCAAGAGAATTTCAGCATCTTTGAAAAGAACATTCTTCGCAGCAACACTAAGAGTATTGTTCTCCAATCGTCAGTTGATCTGCAGAAGCCTTGAGGGCAATATATCGCATATGGCCACTTTATGTGCATATATCAGTTGACCTGTTGCTGTGGAGCCAGGTACATTAGTCTTTCAACACATATCGTGTCCATAAGGGTTAAAGAACACTCCTACATGGCCACAAAAAGGTAATAGGGGAGGTGGAGTATAAGGAGTACGACAATCGGACATCTCATCAACACTGGTCATTCCATCTGAACAAAGGCCTCCTTCAAAGTGATCTACAAAGTAAAGAAAAGCCTACCTACCTTTGTCTCCACTGTACTGCTGAAGCCTTAGCTATTCAGTTAGAAAAACCGGAGTTATGTATGCAAAAGAAAGTAATCCAACCACTTCTACTATCACGGTAACAGTCATGTTGATTTCTACTGACTTGATGTTTGTGCTTTTTTGTTTTTTCCTAACTCTTTATAACATTTGTAATTTTTAGAACTCTTACATAATCCCACTTTTTCCTTTATTTCTATTTGCATCCTAATCACAACTGACTAAACTATTCATCTTATTTCTTAGCTGTATTACTCTTACTCAACTTCTTTTTTGTGTTGATTAACATTAATAACTATTTTCAAGAATTTTTTGTAAGGATTAAATTTGTTTTGTCGAGTTTGACTATGGATTGATATTAGTTAGATAACCACTGAAAAGCAGGGAGTACTGGACAGCTGTTTCATCGGCAGTACTCACCGACTGGGGTTCGAATCCAGGACCTTATGGTCACAAGGCAAGCTCGTATATCATTCAGCCACTGGGACTCGGTTCAATGTTTTTTGACAACACATCACCGCCACCCTCTTATCAATCTTCACCCTCTCCTAGTTACAATTCGACTACTCATCACATTTTTGAAATGCCTTGACAACAATAGCCCTAACTTATTTTTATTCCTATTGTACAAACCGAACCTACCCACACATGCAAAAATAAGTACACATAATTCCGATTGAATGAATTCGCCGGAAAGAGACTCTTCGCTGAACTACGTGTTTTGTTTTCAATAATGTCTAGATGGGGATTCATGAACCTATATTGGTTCCCGTAACCCTTAAAGCCTAATCATTTTCCATATAAACTGTGATAAGTACTATGTGATAAGATTTTTTGAAATGTGTGGTGTAAGTACATTACACGATTCAGATTAATTTTCCTCTATTTGATGTAGTTGTGTTCTCTGATGTTGATGGTTTGCTTGTGACAGATAAAGTTTACCAATCCATAAGAGGAAAATCTCATGCACAAAAAGTCAGACTTCAAGTCAAGGAAACAATAAATACCAATACAAACAGAAAAGAGCAACCAATCACATTCAAGCCTATTAGGACAGATGACTAATAAATTCGTGAAGAAATCTAAAAGCTCACTTCAAATTGAAGTATGCACTAAGGATGTTGCCTAGTAGGATAGCAAATAAACCATCCAGCTAATAAAACACAACCGCATCAAAATAATTCACTTGAGCTACAAATCTTCTCCATTATATCTAATTTTCGTCTTGTTCTGTTTGTTTGTCACCATCCTACCCTACTTTCACCCAATCTCTGAGGGATAAACACAATGATAATCTCTCCAATATTCTTAACGAATATATTGTGTAACTGTAGATATGGACGGATGTATCGGCTTCCTGAGGTGTCAGTCTCATCAACCGTCTTCAAAAATTTCATAATGTTAGCCAAGGTACAAACAAAATCAGTTTACGTCTTATTCTTTCAGTTCTATCGAATAACACTACTCTCCTTATAAACATCGAAATCAATGAAGGCTTGCTGAACAACCATATACACGTTTGCGTAATACTTAACAGTATGTCTAGTTGCCTAAATTGCGAAAGGAAAAGTGAAGTCTGAACTCGTGACAGTACGCGTTTGTCTATTTAGGAGGTTACCTCGAAGTAGTAGATTTGCACGAGACAGCAGGAAAGCAAGGGAATCGGATCTGTTTAGAGCTTGCCACCTTTCAACTCTAACCCTCATTAAAACAACGGCCTGTCAAGTCTACACGACATTGCAAAACCTGTTTCCGATCTAAAGCGAGGAAATACAGTAAGACCTAATGGCTCCACTTTTAGTGATTGAGAATAGAGGCGATGAAATACTGACTAGGTTAGCTGAGGTACTAGCTAGTCTGCAGGAATATGACATAGCTGTTCCTGACTGATGTAAACCAGTGATCGTCCTAGCAAGTGAAAACAAACCAGAGGCCGGCCACCTTGACTAATCTAAATATCCAAACTACCAAAGACCACTGCCCTACGAATACTAAATGAGGACCAGAAGTGATAAATTTGAGGGAACCTAAAGGACTTCAGTCCACGGAAAGGAATGCAGTGGTCAGACCTCCAACATGTTCTAGAACATGGGAGTGTTTAAGTGTCGAAAGCTCGTTGTACTCGACCGAAACAAGTCGTTTGATTCACTCCATTGAGTGATGTTGCGACTAAGTATTGACAAGACGAATTAGAAAATGAGCAGATTTTATTCTCCCACCGTGTTTCTTTTTACAGTCACGTCCAGTCACTTATACACTTAAGTAGAGTCGATATTTTACTTTAAAACTTAACTGAGATTCCTATATAACACTAAGCGATGCTTGGAAAACTTATGATATCCAATAATGAGACATAGACAGTTCGACTGTTTGACAACTGACACAATTAAGTGTACGCACACTTCATTTGGTTCTTACATGCTAATAGCGTAATATCTAAATATCTTTCAACAGTACATAATTTAAAGTACTTTGACTGCCACTGATGACGTAAGTGTCAGCCGCCTATCATCATTTACGAAATACGTCACCTGCAACTAGCCTACGGCATCGAGGACGTATGTCATCATAATGCTGAATATAAAGCCATCAAAGTGGTAAAACATACTTTGTGCTGTTAATCAACACATAACTTTCACCTCTATGACAAAAAAAGTAAAAATCTCAATAAATATATCTTTTATATATGTATAAACAAAAATATATGTACAAGCAAAAATAATTACTTCAGGAAGAAGTGAGTGGTGGCACTGTAGACGATTTGATTTTATGTTTCGCCCGTCGACTGCGTAATGGTTGTTCATTAGAAAGAGATTTTGGTGCACGGACAACAAACAAAAATGCCAAAAATATGAAGTAGCCCAAGATAATTGGTGAAAGCCACCAGGGTATATACGCTGATACATTATTATAGAACTCTCCGAATGCAGTACCCAAACTACCGCATAATGATATAATCGGTTGATATATCAGTTCCAAGCAAACTTCGTATATACTGGTGGTGAAAAAAGGCTCCGAAAGCACTTCTTCGTAGTACTGCAAACATTCATCTGTTTTCGGGCGAGAGGTAAAATACTGAGTAAAGAATCGTGACCACGGTTGTTGATCAGGAGGTTTACAGTCAACAGGTGGACCATTATACCGGGACAAAACAGACATCTTCTGGGCCAGTCGTGTATTATATTTCTTGTACATTGATTGGGAAATTATGAGGACTAATAACAAACTTAGTACTAACATTAAAAGTCGGTGCCGAGAGTGGTATATGAGTATAGACAGCCAAATAGCTAACGTAAAAGAGGCTAACATTGAAATCCAGAAAAGAGGTTTGTCATTTAACCAATGAAACAACTTTGGTTCGTCTGAAAGTGTAACAGGGCGGATAATCCCTGAAAAAATATCATTTATTAAATCCGGTGATATAAGGTTGGCAGAATCATTATTTGAGTCGCAGTATTTACTCAGCGTATGTATATCTTGTTCCTGTAGAACGAATTCTAAATGGACTTTCACTGGCGTTTTCGAAAGTGCATCTGGTTTGTTTCCTGGATAAATATTCCGCCATAAAGTTCTCACCAGAATTCTGTGCAGCTCTCGATGATGATTGATGGCAACATTAGATTTATCACCAGACACTAAAGAGGAACTGTCATTCCAGCTGTGAAATTCACCCATCTCTTGGTCTGCAGAAGACGCTCCGAACATATCATAGGGATCCACATCGGCTTGTGATCTGCTTATCACCAGAAAAACGACGAATCCAGGTAAAACAAACTGAAAACCATAATATGTTAGTTATTATCTCGAAGTAATTTATCATAGAAAACTAGAAACTTAGAAAAACTAGTATATTTGCTGTCGTAATTAAGGTACATAGGTTATATAAGTCATTTTACTCCAGTTCCTCTTCGATTTCGCGCCCGAACGATGAACGGCTGGCGGCCATTGTCTTGAATTTCTGTATATCAATATATAGAAAGAGGAATTTACAGTTTATTTGTCAAGGCAGAGGGAAATAATGGAAACCCAGTATTATTGAGTAGCGGTTATAAACGTGTGAAACACTATAAACCTGACAATAACAAATAAGTTTGAGAGATAGCAAGAAAATTTCTGTACCCATGAGAATTATAGAGAACAAAGTGTAGCATTTGTAAAACGCGTCTGCATGTTTTAGTCCCTTTCGACGCATAATATAGTTTATTAGTGGTATTATACACAATTCAACATTTAGATTCTATGTAAGACCGACCATTTTTACTCGCACTTATGTTCAGCAACGAATTGTGGGCGATACCGCGTCACTTCTTAGAGAATAGGTGGGGTAGAATATATACAGTCGACTTATTAAGCACTTCTCCCTGAAAATGATTATCGGTAACATCTGGCCTAAACGTTTTCAACCACCACTTAAGTTTCACTAAATGATTTAATCTGACAATATAGGAAGCATATAAAAGTTAACCTTATGATACCCGCAACATGGGATATCTTAAATATGTCTAACACTTGCATAAAGGGAAACGGCAGACTGTATCAAAATAAGTTTGAAAAGAAAGGCATAACCGACAACTTTTAAACCTACAGGAAAACAACTGTTGGGTAAGGGAATGAAATAGGCAGTTGTTGTGGTCTAATACATACTTTTCATGCTAAAATACAATCACCTGAAGATCACAAGCCAATGACTACGGACGTTAGTATGATATCGGATTATTGACGCTAATCACTTTATCATCCTATTTAATACTAAGGAAGACGTTGAGTACACATACCTATAAAATGACCCAGTCAACTTGGGTGCTCAATGTTTCTAATTTCGATGAAGGACCCAAATGTCGTGTCAAAGGGCCGTCAAGTAAACAGTGCTGAATAGTACCTGGAGTATGTAGCTAGATGCGGACATTAGATGTACACTGACAGTATGTGACTCGTAAGAAGCAATTAAGGAAGATGTTAAACTAAAAAAGTGGTGGTATAACTAAATCAAATAAAGCCTTCTTCTGGATTTGTATAGAGTCCCAAGAAAAATATGTTTGCGAAGCTTGTGCATTGTGGAATAGATCAACTAATTATAAATATATATCCAAGGTTGTTTATGCACAATGGTAGATTTCTGATAAAGTTACTCTTTCAAGCAAAATTAGGAACAATTCCATCAGCTGGTGCGATTCTGGACAGTAATTTTCCAAGAAGTATTACCACAACCAAAAACTTATCGCTGGATGTACACTGAAATATAATTATAATGAAGAATTCCGGGGAAATAGTTTGCGAATTACAGGTAAATTGGACTTAGATAACGAATACCAAGACCAGAAATATACACGGCTCTCAGAACACCACGAGCCATAGTCACCTTTCCGACACTCTCGAGACTCCTGTCGTCCCTAAAGTTTTATTAATTGTCTAAGGCAAGTGGTCAAGTCAGTCGGCGTGGCATTTACAATCTAGTCAAGATTGCCGTCAGTTAAGCGCATGAGACTGCACAAGCACTTGTCAAAAGATTTAACCGAAACACAAACGTTACCAAGAATTGTAACTCACAGACTGCACGGATGGCAGGATCTCAATGAGTCGGAGGAATACTGTTGGGGAAAGTGACTGTTGGAGCACCTGCAACAACTGATTAGGCTGGCCACAGACAGAAACGGCAACAGCAAAATGTTTGACGCCCTCATCAACAGAACCCATACTTAGAGCTGTCTCTCCTTGCTGTATTTGCTCAAGGAAGAATCTCTGCATTGCGGACTGATCATTAATGGGAGGCATAGGAAATGAAGACGCCTTCTGAGCTTCTCGAGCCTTTTGTTCCATTCTTTCTAAAGTTTATGACATCATCCACATTGTAAGAGTCTAACTTTTTCTTAGGTTTTTCATGAAGTCTGGGTGACTACGCCGCTTCTTGTCGAAGTAAATACAGTACCCAACAAAAAGCACACCAGCACCAGCTGCAACGTACGGGATAACTCCACGTAACATTCTGGTAGAAGTCTCGCTCTTAATTAATCTTCCAAATAAGGCGCCTGTTTGGCCAACATCCAATGTTAAATACATTACAATTCAGAGAAAATATTGAATTGACAGTTATCCGCAATCCATAAATGAGTAGCGGGAAACCTTCATTTATCCTGTGGTTCTTTTTCCTGTTATCATATGTGTAAGAGGAAGAGATCTATTGAAAATGTGATGGAATTAAACGCGCTCCGGAAAATTTTGTTTTATTGCATTCAACAGCTAGAGATACTTTACTTTAAATCCATATAATTTTTTAGCATTTCCACATGCTTTTTCCCACTGTTATATTCATCATTGTTGCTCTGTCCCATTTCCCACCCCATTATCAACCCTTGTCATATACTATTTACAATATAATATAATATATAATATGATAAAATATATATAATATTGAAAATATATTGGATATTGATGATTCGGACAACTGCAAATTTTCTTGAAGTCTTTCAAACTCCAGTCTACCTGCAGCTTAATGCCTGCTTCTAAATCAGCATCACTGAATGGAACCTTGTAGGCTTTACAGTTATTTTACTTGATCGTGCCTGTAAAAATTACATGCATTTTCATGTAAATTTATATGTTTATATGAAAATATACATTATTATTATTATTCTGATATCACACCAACTCCATATTCGTCTGCTCCTAAGGGTGTCATGGCCGGAACGCACAGACAGTTTAGTGATGCGCACATGTAGAGGAGGCTGAAAGACCACAATTTCGCGCATCTTCACCTAAATATTTTAAACAATGAGTGTTGTACACTAAGCTTTGCGTGCCGTAAATTTCTCGAAACTCTTACGGAAACTAAGCTATTCTACCCCGACAGCTTTTATAAAATGTTAGCGAAATCTCTCACGAGATAGAAGGTACATTGCTAAAGCAGGGCAATGGATGTTTTGTACATACATAACGGCATTATATCCTTTTGTAACAAGAACAGGAGAAATATAATATATTTTATTCACATAAATTAAGCATTTACGTGTTTGACTTACCGTTTGTGCAGGCATGAACATATCTGACAAGTGCGGTTTGAAATGGAACACTGTTTTATGACATTTAAAATCGAAAAAATGGAAAGAAATAATCTAGAATCATTGTAAGAAGTTTGTGATGTTTATTTTTAATTGAATAGGTTACAAAACATTGGTTTAAGTATAAATTTTAACCTACAATATACTTATAGTCAGTCAGCGTCATGCAAGAATTACGAAAGGTTGCGTTAATGGAAGGTAAGCGTAATGAGATAAAAACTAGCCTAATACAACTAAATGAGTTTTTTCTTTCTTCTTTTTCATAAAGGAACGCCGACGTGGCTTTGCTAGAGCAGGAAGTAGATCGTTTGTCTAGACTTGCTATAAATGACGACAATTAGCTTGCACCTAGTTAATTCAAGCTTTGTTTGGTGGAAATAAACACCTTCCTCCCATATATTCGTATTCTTCCTTCGTTCGTTGTGGCTGTTGCTTTTGAGTGTTACAATTGGTGTCAGAGGTGTCCCAAACTCTGTCTAAATATGAAATCAGACTCATCCGAACCTCGTGAAATAACCTCCAACCAGAAAGTCAACACACACTTCCCAACCACAGAACTCACCTTACCTGTGCGAGGACCACCAACGTTGGACATCAACAGCGACTATGAAATGTGGAAATTTCGAATGAAGTCTCTTTTACAAGGTCTCCCCCTACACGCCCAATATACTCAGGTTATCCTGGCGATGAGTGATGCCGCATTACTCCGTGCAATCACCGAGAAATTTCTTCGCACCCGAGTCGCTCTGCTACTGGCACGTCTTAGGAGAATGCTTCGCTAAAACGTCCAGCTCCTCTGTGTACATGCACACCTTCCTCAGACGCTGTCAAGAATCAGGCGAAACAGCTGTCGACTACCTCCACCAACTCCATGAGATGGCGCCGCACGCATTTCCTAACCTTCCCAACCCGAGACGGAATGAGGTTACTCGTAGCCGGTTCGCACAAGGTCTCTTATCATATGAGCTCAAGTGCCAGCTCCTACGTCAACTAGCCAAATAGGTCTCAGAAGCCCTTGAGGTGGTTAGACGATTCGGGAGCGTAGAGCACATTCTCTCTCCAACTGCCATTACGTCCTCTTATGCACTCGGGATCGCTAAGCGAAGAACACCCGCTCCAGGCCCATGACAACGCCGCCCTAATGCTCCATCATCCGACCAACCTACAACGCCATCCAAAATTCCTCCTAGACGGAATAATGATCCCACCAAATGCTACTACTGTCGTCGGTTCGGTCACAAAGCGTGGAAATGCGGTCACAATAAAAGCCTCTAGATGAGCTACCTCCTAATATGTCCTTATTTGGTAAGTGTTTGAAATCTCCCCTTATCCTTGAGGGTAAAATTCAAGGCGTGAACGTAACTTTTCTGGCTGACACCGGGGCATCGTGCTTCGTTGTCCGCACAGAGGTTGTTCAGCAATTGGGGGTGAAAGCTTAGCCTCTCCCCAACCAACTACAGCTAATTACTGTCAATGGAGACCTTTTCAAGGTAACGGATTCCAACATGCTTACCGTGACGTTACAAAAGTTCACCTGCAATTATTTACTTGTCATGTGTGATGTTGTACGATGGCACGTCATAATGGGCGTGAATTTCTTAACTGGCCAAAACGCTGTAATCGACCTTAGACGCCTTAGAATCCGGCCGG